GGTGATGGCTAATTCAAACGGAGGGTTTCTACATTCTGATCAACAAACTAACCCGGTGATACCGCCTTGGTTAGCTACTTCTAACAATGGGAACAATGTTGTTGTAAGACCTCCCTCGGTGACTCTCACTTTATCGCCTTCCACTGTGGCTGCAGCTACGCCTCCACCGCCTATCCCGTGGCTGCAGCAGCAACAGCTTGAGAGAGGCGGTGGAGGAGGAGAGAGCAGCCCGGGAGGTCTTGTGTTAGGGAGTATGTTACCGTCTTGTAGCGGTAGTGGCGAGGGTGTGTTCTTGTCTGAGCTTGTGGAGTGTTGTAGAGAGTTGGAAGAAGGGCATAGAGTTTGGGCAGAGCATAAGAAAGAGGCGGCTTGGAGGCTAAGGAGGCTGGAGTTGCAGCTAGAGTCAGAGAAGAGTTGTAGACAAAGGGAAAAGATGGAAGAGATTGAGGCAAAGATGAAGGCTCTGAGAGAAGAGCAGAAGATCGCAATGGAGAAGATCGAAGGAGAGTACAGAGAACAGCTCGCCGGTTTGAGGAGAGATGCAGAGGCCAAAGAACAGAAACTGGCTGATCAATGGACCTCTAAACATATCAGACTCACCAAGTTTCTTGAACAGAACATGGGTTGCAGGCAGCAGAGGCTATTAGACCGGCCTTGAACCGTGGACCAACTTCGAAGCTATCTTCTCGTGTTTCTTGTTGTAATGTAAGCTTTTTGTTTTGGGTTTCTTCTTTCTTAGTTTTATCATTTGGTATCTCCAATGTTGATCAGACTTTTGGGTTCCTTAATTTAGCTTTGTATTTGTTGGTTCTCTTATTTTATCTTTATGTTTTCTCTAACTTGGTGTTCAAGTTCAACTTAGGCATTGCTTCATAGCTACAAAACTTTCAATCGTTTACGAATGAAAAATTTAGGGTCTATGTAGAAAATCTAAAACAATTGCTACATTATAATTAAAGAGAAAGAGGTGTCATTATTCACTCAAAACGCAGTTGCATTCTCGAACTAAATAAAAGAAAGAAGGAAAAAAAACAAATGTTTAACCATACTACAAACAGATTACCATAAATCCTTGAAAATGTCATTGACCAGAATTCCAAATTGTAAAAGTAACAAAAACAAAGAGCAGCATAACGGAAGGTTAAAACCCGGCTTGGCTTTGATGAATGATCCACGGCGCTTCTTCTCTGAAAAAAAGATCAACTTCGAGCTCAGAAGCACTTCCTGTGAACAATTGACGGGCCTGACTCATCGTACTCTGCCTTTGCGATCCACATCTGCACAAGTTAAACATAGTTTTAGGGGATAAGCCGGTTTAATTAAGCTGCGGGATAACTAGAGACTGATGAGAATTTTAAATTATTCGGTTTCGGGGGAGGAAATGATGGGACCGTGTACCTGCTGGAAGGTACTGAGGGAGGCCAAGATAGACCCTCCAATCCAGACAGAGTATTTCCTTTCTGGAGGGGCGACGACTTTGATCTTCATGCTGCTTGGAGCCAAAGCGGTGATCTCCTTGCTCATTCTGTCGGCGATTCCCGGGAACATTGTGGTTCCACCACTGAGCACAATGTTACCGTACAGGTCCTTTCTGATGTCAACATCACACTTCATTATGGAGTTATAAGTTGTCTCATGGATACCGGCATTTTCCATACCAATCATAGATGGCTGGTAAAGAACCTCAGGGCAACGGAAACGCTCAGATCCGATGGTGATCACTTGCCCATCAGGTAGCTCGTAGTTCTTCTCAACAGCTGAGCTGGTTTTGGCTGTCTCAAGCTCCTGCTCGTAATCAAGAGCAATGTAGCAAAGCTTCTCCTTTATGTCTCTGACAATTTCTCGCTCTGCTGTGGTGGTGAAAGAGTAACCACGCTCGGTAAGGATCTTCATCAGCGCGTCTGTGAGGTCACGACCCGCAAGATCAAGACGAAGGATAGCATGTGGAAGGGCATAACCCTCGTAGATCGGAACAGTGTGGCTCACACCATCTCCCGAGTCAAGCACGATACCTGCACACCCATAAACCGAGAAAGGCTTTACATTCTGCAAAATGTACAAAGATCGAAGCTTTATACCATAAGAACACAAAAGGGTTTCACTCACCGGTTGTACGACCACTAGCGTAAAGGGAAAGGACAGCCTGAATAGCCACATACATAGCCGGGGCATTGAAAGTCTCAAACATGATTTGAGTCATCTTCTCACGATTAGCTTTCGGGTTAAGAGGTGCCTCAGTAAGTAGAATCGGATGCTCCTCGGGAGCAACACGAAGCTCGTTGTAGAAAGTGTGATGCCAAATCTTCTCCATGTCGTCCCAATTGTTGACAATCCCGTGCTCAATCGGGTACTTGAGAGTTAGAATACCACGTTTCGACTGAGCTTCGTCGCCAACATAAGCATCCTTTTGCCCCATCCCAACCATCACTCCGGTGTGACGTGGACGTCCAACAATGCTAGGAAACACAGCTCGAGGTGCATCATCCCCAGCAAAACCAGCCTATTCATATACAGAAACCAAATGATTCATATCATCAACAAGTGAATCTAATGAGTGAAAATGATTATGGGTTTTGTCTATAGAAACAGAAGAATCTGATTTTACCTTAACCATTCCAGTTCCATTGTCACAAACAAGAGGTTGAATGTCTTCACCATCAGCCATTTTCTACCTTTCTGCAAAACCAAAAAGATCCAAAATTTCTTCAAGAGAAACTATTTTATTATATACAAAGAACAATTCTTTTACAAGGAATCAAGAGAGACAAGGATATATTCTTCTAGATCCAGAATCAATTAACCCAATATCGAATATTATAAAATTCAACAACGTTAAGATAAAATGATTTTAATATTAAAAACTGTTGAAAACATGAGTCGCGATTTGAGGATTGTTCGATTAAACAAATAACAAATTGGTGTGATAATTTAAAATCGATAAACACAGATCGAAGATCAGTTCATGGGGTTTGAATGTAGAATCGACTGAGACAAATACGCCACCAACAGAAGGAAGCAATAATAACAAAACCCAGATCCAAAAGAAAAATCGGACACGACGATATATGTATCAAATCGATGCAAGAACATTGAACGTAAATTGGGTTTTCGAGAAGAAGAATGAAAAAAGGGTTTCAAAAATTACCTGGAAATCGAGAGAAGGAAACAAAGGGAAGAGGAGGATGTGATTCTAAG